AAGATGTCACTTTAAAAGACGAAAGGACATTTACTGATGAAGCAGATGAATCCCACATGAAGCAGAAGCAAACAAGACGGAGACCAGTACAGAAGAAGATACCTCCCGTAAAATTAAGAGACTTTGTTGAATTGTAATTTTGTGTTTGTAATTCTGTACATTTAATTAAGTTATTGTTAATTTTTATTGGTTTATTGTAAGTGGCTATTGTTCGGGACGAACAATACTGAGGACGGGGCAGTGTTGCGTCAGCAAGGTCACGTGACTCGTTCTCTCGAACCTTTGGGAATTGTCGGGAGATTACTAGATATAGGGTAGTCTGGTATATATAAGAGGGTGACAACGTGACGGAACAATAATGTGTGTGTGTAGACAGTGATTAATTAATCTGCAGTCAGAGTATTATTGAAGTTGAGCACGTCGTTGTTATAGCGTTTGTTTTAGCGCGATTGTTGAAATTAAGTGTATCGTAAAGTATTATTCGGAAAGAATAAACCAGTTTTATTAAGTAATGACTTGTGTCGCTAAAGTTTCGTCGGAACGAATTTACGGGAAATCAATAAACAAATGGAGACGTAACAATATTCTTCATCCAGTTACTGGTGATAATCTTCCTGTTTTAGTTCAACTTACCTCTACGAGTAATTATTCACGTTAAGAGAAATAAAATAGTATCTTGAATGCAAATACAGTTGTTCTTAATATCGAGTTTACATTAATCACGCATCACAGGATTATAATACAAACTTATCTTCTTTGGAAAAGAGAAATACATATGCCCAGTAAGGCCGTAACCAGTAAGATTTGATATCTTCAGTTTTAGAGTGTCACAGTAGCATTCAGAGAACAACATGTAACTCTGCCGTGGCTACAAAGCGATTCTGTTGGAAAGGTGCACGTTATCAAATTCAAAATGTTCATAGTGGCTTTCAATTTTATCGTAGATTTTATCTCATGACTGGAACTTAAGGTACTCAATTCTACAAAAAAAAATCTTGCTATGGCTTCATCATTTGAAAAAGCCACTATTTTACTATATTTCATGAAAGATCTTTCGGAATCCCATATCCTTTAATGGTTAATCCAGTTTTCCTGACCTGCCTCTACACTTTAACTATAAATTATATGGATGCCCCTGCAAGAGTATCTGCATCTGTAGTTTAATACTGTTCCAAGGCAAAATGGTATTATATACCTTCATCCATAACAAGTACCACGAAGTTTCTTTCCTTTTACTTACTACATCTTACAATATGATCTTCTGCACTAGTTATTATGTATTGTTTTGGAAATTATCTATTATTTTACTCGTCTTGAAGCTTTAAAAAGATCCTACTGTTGTTATATTTTACCACCAAATTAACGCAGTCTTGTAATACAATTACGTCATTTTATTTCTAAAACTTGACTTTTAGCATTCAACCAAGCAGGGTTTCGACCTTCTCTTTCCAGGAAGGACCGATTACTCAGACGTTTTGATACAATCATTAATTAATTTAGTAACAACTGACCATCTTGTAAGATCCCTTTTAATTCCTTTCTTCAGGAATGACTGTGTATATTCTGTAGAAGGTATTGTTACGTATCTGCTTGTTTGTTAATTCTCGGTATAAATTATTTCTGAGGAACTTCAGCGATACAAGTCCTTTCTTAATTAAACCAGTTTATTTTTTCCTCGATACAACTTTGTAATACACAGAATTACCAATCAGTACCTTAAACTTAACTACTTTTACAACACACGTTATAAATCACAGTGATTCACACACTTTACTTACGGGGCTTACTGTTTGCTTGACTCAATTATCTATCTCTTCCATCTATATGCTGGTTTTTCTCGCCAGGCTTATATATTATAAAGAGGGCATCTGGAATGCACTTGGGCCTTCATGATCCTTCGAGAAACTCCAGCGTGCATGCTCCTAGCATTGCGTGCCTTCCACTGTCATAAAACTGCCCTTTCCTTAGTATTGTTCGTCCCAAACAAAAGCCACTCACATTAAACCAACAATAACTTAATTAAATGTACATAATTTACAAACACAAAATTAAAATACTACAAAGTCTCTTAATTTTACAGGACGTTTCTTCTTCCGTACTGGTCTCCATCTAATTGGCTTCTGCTTCATGTGGGGTTCATCTGCTCCATCAGGAAATGTCTCATTATCATTAGTGGTAGTCTCATTAGTGGTAGTAACTTCATTAGCAGCTTCACTGTTTTCCTTCTCAAAAACCGAGTAGAGTTTCTTCTTTGACAGTGGCTTTTTCAGGTGACACGTCTTCAGCAGCATCATCTGTTCCATTGTTCACTTCATTCCAACTGAAATGTCCTGGACTGTGATAACGCCAAAGCCTGTTGGCATGCACCACCTTTGGCTTACCTCGCCGACCACATTTTATCCGGAAAGTCACGTCTCAGAGACGATCGACTATGTCATATGGGCCTTGCCATGGAGATGACAACTTAGGAGACTTCCCTTTGATCTTCCAGGGATTGTACA